CACCATTTTAAATGATAGCTTGTGACACTGTACACTTTTCTAGAATTGAGTCTAATTTTATTGAAGAAACTTACACTTCCCAAACTTCTTCAACAGAGCATTTTTGATATCCTTGTTCTTCAAGCTGTAAATGAGAGGGTTTAACATGGGAGTTAAGATGCTGTACTGCACCGACACTAATTTGTCCAGGTAGGCGAGTGATTCTGAACTTGGCTTCATGTACCGGAAAAAAGCTGCAATGTAAAACAATCCCACCACAATGAGGTGAGAGCTGCAAGTGGAGAAGGCTTTATGTCTGCTTTCTGCTGAACGAATCTTCACGATGGTTGAAATAATGTAAACATAAGAGATGAGGGTAAGGAGAAAGGAGCCAAGACCAAACACCAACACAGTGATAAGAAGAACAATGTAATTTATGAGGGTCTGGGTACAAGCCAAGGCCAAGACTGAAGGAAGCTCACAGCTGTAATGGTCAATAATATTGTTCCCACAAAAATGCAAATTCACCAAAGGTGGAACATTCAACACAGCATAGAAGGTACCCATAGCCCAAGAGCCACCCACTAGTTGTCTGCAGATTTCTTTTTTCATGATTGTGGTATAATGCAGTGGATCACATATAGCAATGTATCGGTCATAAGCCATTGCTGAAAGGATGAATACTTCAGCACAAGCAACCTGGAAAAAGAAGAAGATCTGTGCAATGCATCCTTCCCAGGAAATCGTTTTCTGCTTTGCTATGATATTTTCCAACATCTTGGGAACAGTGACAGATGAATAGCAGATGTCAACAAAAGCTAAATGACTAAGAAAGAAGAACATGGGGGTTTGAAGGCTACACTCAGTTCTGATCACCAGCATGATTGCAGAATTTCCTAACAATGTTACCAAAAAAATTATTAGGAACACCAAGAAGAGAAACAGCTGAAGATGTGGATCTCTGGAGAGTCCTGAGAGTATAAACTCTGTAATTGCAGTTTGATTTTCCATCTCAATGAATTTAAAAGCCTTAACATCTGTACAAATTAAAAAAAGAAATAGAATTTATTCAATTTGTAGAAAGCTCTGAAAAATGATTAATAAATGTATAAATGTAGGGGAAGTATTTTCTGAATTTTTAACCCTATTTACCTGGGAGTAAGCTCCACTGAATTCAATATGATCTACTGTATCTCTATCTGGACATAGTTATGAAGAAGAAGAAGAAGAAGAAGAAGAAGAAGAAGAAGAAGAAGAAGAAGAAGAAGAAGAGTTTGGATTTGATATCCCGCCTTTCACTCCCTTTAAGGAGTCTCAAAGCGGCTAACATTCTCCTTTCCCTTCCTCCCCCACAACAAACACTCTGTGAGGTGAGTGGGGTTGAGAGACTTCAGAGAAGTGTGACTGGCCCAAGGTCACCCAGCAGCTGCATGTGGAGGAGCGGAGACGTGAACCCGGTTCCCCAGATAACGAGACTACCGCTCTTAACCACTACACCATACTGGCTCTGATTGCTTTGATGCAGCCAAGAACTAGACTGTTGATTCAAGCGCTAATTGTTTGTGTAGAGATTTCACATTTGCAGTTCCACACTCACTGCACAAAAGGAAATTGGATGCACACACATGTGCAACCACTTCAAGATTGTTTCTTTCTTTTTTAAGGTGGAGATCAATATGCATGCTAATGTTTAATGTTGGGGGGGGTGAGGTTTATTTGATCTGAATGGATGGAAAACAAATTGTGTACACATAGCATTTTACATACCTGACAGGGACAAGGGAGACCACTGACCCAATAGTTCCATACTGGGCACAAGGCCATGTAATTCCAAACTCTAAATTCCAGACAGAATGCTAAATGTGGGAAGGGAGGGGTTTTTTTTAAAATGGAGGGAGGTTTTTGTAGATGAAAAGCAAGACTATAAACAGTCAAACTATTTCCTAGCACACATTTGGTGGTTGGAAAACTTCGACCTGTTGTACATCTGCCTATTATAAAAAAGGAAGCAGCTCTGAGAACATGTGAGCCCCCTTCCATTTCCAGATTTGTCCTCATAGATCAAACTTAGGTATACTGCTCTGAATGTGGAAACTGTTCAATCTCAATTTTGAGACCCATGTCTACTTGGTAAGACTAATAATGTCATCTCAGTTCTGCTGGCATACATGAAAAAGATGCATTTTCAGATTTATGGATATGTTGATCATGATTTTTGGTTAGGTACTGGTCCTTTATTGGTCCATCTAGCTCAGTACTGTCTAAACTGACTTGCAATGGCTCTCCAGAATTTCTGAAAAGAATAAGTCTAGTCTGACCTGGAAGTACAAGGGATTAACTTGCGACTTTCTGCATGCAAAGCAGATGCTCTATCACTGAGCTTTTAGCTCTTTAGCCAGTATAGGAGACACTGGTCCTTTCTGGTTTGTATATACTAGAACAGCCTACATTTTTCATTTTTTAAGGGTGAAATTTTGAAGCAAATTTGTAGAATTTTTAAACTGCTGAAACATTTGGGAGGATTAGAAAGTACTAAAAAGTTGTCAGAAGACTAGCAAATATGTTCGGCTTCTTTGTGAATCTTAGTTATTTACTGTGATTTCGTGTTTCCAAGTACAAGTCACTGGAATCTTTAGGAAAATATTGAATAATTCTGCAAATTGATAGCATGTACTGGTTACTGTCTATTTAAGATCGCCCAGCACATAAAACACACTGAATTAAACTATTCATAAATATCAGAAAGAGATTGCCACTTACCTGATAGCTAATCCAGATGTGCAACAACTGCCACTGCCCTTAGGTTTTACTGGAGCTGCATCTCAAAGAGATCTCCATCCACTTTACAATTACTTTAAAAAATGACGATTTGAAACAAATCTTGGTGAAATCCCCAAAGAAAATAAAGATCGCTCATATTATCATACAGCTCATTTTGATTATGGCTGGGGATCCGGTTGCTGGTTTTCAGTTCATGACCTTTGGCCCTGTCATCTGGGGCTGAATGCGACCTCGAGTCCAAACAGCATCTAGCTGGTCAAAGTTTTTTCATCTGTGACAGAAAGGAAAAATATTTCAGGGTCCCTGCTGTGCACACTGAAAGGGAATGATTGAAATCACTGCCAACTCTACAAAAGCCTGATTTTTTTAATGTGCACTGTTCAGTTTCCATTCTGCCTATGTACTGGACAATTTTTTAAGTGAGCAAGATGGTATAGAAAGGATGGTGATGTGATGTCACGTTTATTTTTCTGGAATTAATCCCATGAAATTTATCCTGCCAAATGACTTTCTCCTGGGATGCCTTTTTCATTAAATGAAACTGTATTAGTTCTTCCTTCCAAAAAACAACAACACATTTATTATAGGTTTTACAAGTCAGTTGAACATTAAGGTGTGATAGACTCCTTTAGATATAGAGATGCCTTACAATGTGACAGACCAGGGCCACATATTCTACTCCATATTGTCAACAACTGCAACTTTCAGTCAGGAATGGGCAGAATCAATCTGCTTGAGTTTGTGTCCATTTTGGTATATGCCTACTGGCAAAGCCCACTCTGCTTCATGTCTACATTGCAATTCTTAGGAAATAACTATTGTGAACTCTGCATTTCTTTAACTGTTTCTCTAGTCTCTCTCTTTGTATATGTGTAACTTTCTAGGTGGTTTGAAGGTTGTGCTTTCTCCTTCAATAATAATAATAATAATAATAATAATAATAATAATAATAATAATAATAATAATAATAATACTGTAATCATAACCCCAATTTCAAGCTGTTTGGAGCAACTGGAATGTCAAGTTCATTCACAATGTATTTAAATCATCACACTTTATTACAGAACATACTCCCCCCCCCTATAATTGATGGGAAGTGCCTCTTGCTGGAGTCCAATAGAAAGCATCAGCACACATCCAAGAGACATGTGCATGATATAACACATATTAGCAGAGTCAGCGAAAGCAAAATTGTGTAGGAATTGTGGCATCAAGTATTTTATTATTTACAACAAAAAAATGGCATTTTGTGTCAGTGGAAAATATGTACAATAATATCCCTTGCAGATTTAGAGGGGCTTCCTTAGTGGGCACAAAGAAAGGATTACCCACCATAATGTACACCCACTTCCAGGTCAGTTTTAGATGCCATTTCAATGAATGTTGCAAGCACTGTGCTTTCTAGCTGCTCCAAGCAGTTAGAAAATATTTTTAGAAAAAAATAAAAGTAGCTCTTGTGTGTATTTTGAGAAACTACTGCTCACTAAACCATACCCAGTTAAGTTTTGCAAATATTTGGCCTAATTTGCCAATCTGAAATGCCTCATTGTTTCCTTAGAGTCAGGTGATTTAAATTTTGATTATAGGGAACTAGGAATTTGGTTGGAATGTTGTTTGTGTAGTTGTTTGTGTATTTCCCCATGCATTTTAGTGCCAAAAAGGCATATGTAGTAGAAGGAGGACGCTAGGGTATGAAGTTCCATAACTTTTTTCAGAGCAGGAGTAATGATGTTACTGCTGGAGTGCCAAAGATAGGCTCTTCTGACTGTGGCAAGTGAATGAGTTGGCAGGCTTACAGATTAAAAGAAAATTGCGTCATAGATTCCCACAACTGAGTAAATCTGAATATAACCAATCAATCATGTAGTGTGGACTAACATGTACTGGGCAATGCGTAATTACCATTGACATATTTGCAGTCCCAATCAGCCAGACCAATGAGGAAACTCTACTAAACTGAATCTGGTTGATGGGCTCCACTTTACCTGCTGGAATACAAACCTTGTGGACCTTTTCCATTAGGTTGCTTATTTGCTTTACAGATGCATGGAGAAAAGATAAAGAGAATTGGGCATGTGTGCATCTAAAATTTGCAATGTTTGTGGTGTGTAATGGAAGGGAAAATTATTGACAACCATGTTAATCAACTGGTTTATGAAATAAAAGATTGTGGTCATACAACCAATGGGACATGATCTTCTCATTCACACGGTTCTGTTGATTTGAATTGGGAATTAATATCAAGATTTCAGTCTCAATATCCTCCTAAGCACTGCTTTCACCTCCTTGTTCTGCAAGCTGTAGATGATGGGATTTAACAAAGGGGTAAGAATGCTGTATTCTATGGACAGTATTACATCCAAAAGTACTGATGAAGCTGAGCTTGGCCTCAGATATCGGAAGTAACCTGTTCCATAGAAGAGACTGACTACAGTGAGGTGGGAGCTGCAGGTAGAGAAAGCTTTACGTCTCCCTTCAGATGAATTTATCCTCAGTATGGTGGAGATGATATGAATGTAAGACAGCACAGTGAGGAACAGGGATACAAGCCCAACTATGCTCCCAGAAATGAAGAACAGCATTTTATTGAAGAAAGTATCATTGCAGGAGAGAGAAAGGATGGAAGGGAGCTCACAACTGAAATGATTTATGATATTTGAGCCACAGAACTGTAGCCTTAACAGTGGCAATGTGTTTGCAAGTGCATAAACAAAACTAATCATCCATGCACTGGCCACTAGCTTTTGGCAGAATGCCACATTCATGATTTCCACATAATGCAGGGGTTTACATATAGCACAGTATCTGTCATAAGCCATTGATGAGAGGATAAAAACTTCAGCAGTAGCCGAAAACAAAATAAAGAATGCCTGAGTGAAGCATCCACCAACAGAGATGGTCTTCTGCTTGGCAATGATGATCTCCAACATCTTTGGGACAGTGACAGTTGAATAACACACATCAAGGAAAGAGAGGTAACTCAAGAAGAAGTACATAGGACTCTGAAGAGGTGGACTGGTCCTCACAAGCAGCATGATTATTACATTCCCCAACAGAGTTAGCAGATAAATCAACAAGAAAAGGAAAAATAAGAAGATCTGGAGCTGAAGGTTGTTGGAGAGGCCAAGAAGAAAAAAATAGTATTCAGTGGTTTGGTTTCCCATTGAAAGTTATCTGAAGGATGCACATCTAAAAAAATGACCAAAGGTTTTTTTAATAAAGAAACAAACATGAACATCTCAAGAGATAAACAATTATGATTTATCTGGGCTGGGGTTATGCTTAAATGTAATCTCGCAACTGATATCTTAAGTAACAAGACTATAAAGTTTTCTTTATAAAAAACAATAGTAATAGATTTGCTACAAAGCTTAACTCCAACGACTGTTGTAGAGTGATTATGGCAGTTTCTGAAAAGGCAAAATACTGAAGGAAAGCTGAGGAAATGAATGCCCTCCACACTAAGATTGCTAACAGTTCTACCTCGGGTAAAAATGGTGTGGGGAGATCAGCATATTTATTCACACTCTCCATGGGTGCCATATGCCACTTAAAATATATGTTTTGAGGTGACCATGTCTGCTGAAGACACTCCATACATTGAGAAAATTTAATGAGTATTGGGAAGCAAACTGACAAGATCTCACCCAAGGCAGAACTTCAGAGGAAAAATTAGGGCTACTGTATCTGCTTGGGCAAGATATCTGAGGAAAATCAAAGGAAAGAAAAAATGGTTTTGATAATAACTAATTGCAGTTTTGAAGGAATTAGTTTCTAGATATTTTTTTGAGATCTCAGCTCAAACTGCATCCTAATTTTATTGTTTTCAATTATCTATTATGAAGCAGCCTAGAAAGCTAATTCAACTTTTCAGTTAGCTAAACTTCCATTATGTGGTTAGTCAGATCAGGTGGTAAATGCTTAGGGACCCTCTCCTGCCACCCTGTACCAATGATACAACAGGTTATAATTCTTTCACTATGCTATAACATTGTATATCCCTACCACTAAATCCATCTGCAAAGACCAGAAATGAGTTGTCACTTACCAAGCATTTAATCCACAAGTGCATCCACTATCACTATACCTAAGATCACACCTCAAGCTGAAATAAACTTCCGCCCACTCAGAATGTTCATTATAAAATATTAATAGGAGGCAAAGTGTGTGGGGGAAAAACTCATCTATATTTATCTTCTTCATTTAAATTGACCTGTTGGGGGGAATATTACCTTGTATATCCCCAGGCTATGATGTATTATTTGGTTCAGAAGAACCATATGTAAGTCTTGGTGTGATATATTGGAAGGCAGGGGAATAAACTGGATGATGTCATACCCTGCCATATGCTCTTCTGAAAGTTATCAAACAACTTTTCTCCTGATACTATAAAATCGTATTGTGGCTCAATTTGAAGTCAGAGCCATGAGGTTTGCGAATCCCGCCCCCCCCACCCCCACCAAAGGAAGATGTAGTACAGAGATCAGGAATGTGCCCTCAGCTCCCATGGTCCCTTTGGAGAGCAACTCTGCTTAGAGCTGAATAGTTTGTTCATTTAAGGAAGGGAGGAAAATGGCTGAAGCACATTTGCACAGCCACTTCTCACATGCCAAATAACAGAGAACAAGTGGCTTGGTGATCATTGAATTCTGATTATACCTCTTGCTTGCCTGGATGGAAGAAGGAGAAATGTTTGAGAGTTTAGGTAGAGAGCTCAGACTTTTGCATGGACAGGCGGAGTCCCCCAGATCCCGAGCACACCCCCCCCCCGGTCATGTGGAATAACGACTCAAGACAATGTGCTATGGGATTAAATTGGCCACAACTTTATTAAATTTCAAATGTGGGTAGACCTTGGCTCAGGCATTGGGCATTATCCCTCCCCAGTCCCCAGCTGGGGACCTAGGGAGCATCAGGGTTATCCAGTGTGTGGGGGGGGGGATGGGCTGGCTCTGGAAAACATATGTTCAAGCAGAGATAGCCGCCCCCGTTATGCCGCCGCTGCAGGGGAGAGCAATGACAACCTTTTGGTGTACGGTCAAAGCCTCCCTTCAGAAACCCCTTTAATGGGGAATCCTGGTATCGCCGCTGCAAAGAGGAAGATAGACTAAAGGATTCCGCCCAAGGCCTGATACTGCCAAAGTTGTGACGTTTTGATATGGGAAAGGCAAACCTGCCAATGCAGGGGAATTCCTTTCCGGCCCTTTAACAGCGACCTTAATGTAGCAGCGCCTGCATACTTGTGAAGAAAAGTTAACCTGCAAAACCTGTGAAGAAAAGTTAACCTACAAAATAAGACATTAACTGAGGGTGGGTAGGGTGGGAGAAGCTGTGGAGCCAAGTGAGGGTTCCCAAGCAAGATCCTCCCTCTATTGTGTGGACAGGTAGTCCCTCCCCTACCTGACCTGGTCTCCTTGGCAACACTTCCACCAGGCGGGATTGGACAACTGACTGAGATAGGCGGAGACCTCCAGGTATCCCACCTGAGGGAAGGTGAAGTCAAGCCTATGCTGATGAAGCCACTCCAGATCCAAGGGCTGCACGCGTCCACGCAAAGGGCGCCCCCCGTTTTATGAATATATGCTACTGTGCAAAGATAGTTGTGCTGGTTACTCCACCTTTGTTTGTTCCTGGCCCTTGCCATCAGTGTTATAATAGCCCTGGTAGGCTGCCCATGACAGAATGTATCCTTCAAGGTGAAAAATATATATGTCCCCATCCATATTGTAAGCCATCAAGCTGAAAATACCCCCCCCATCCATATACAGTGGTTCAACAGCCTATTGCTTCCCCTGCTTTCCCAGGACTGCAGACATTGTGTAGCAGTTCTAACAGCCACATCCATGAGTGATGTCAACCACTTGCCAGTAAAGGCAAATGAACTGCACTCACAAATTATGCCTGTCCAGCCTAGAATAAAGTGAAAACTATTCCATGTTAGTAAACTTTCACAATTAAAACAGACTAAAAGTAAATGGGCTTAATTATATTTACTGAATAGTCTCTGTATTCCAGGGAGACTTAAGTGCAACTATAACATGAAAAAGATCATAAGGGCAGAATTCCCTAGAGCTCAACATGAACCAATATTAACAGGCCTGGGACATTTCTATTGTTCAGTTGCAAAGATGCATAGCCAGCACATTATGCGCCACTGTCTTTTTAAGTAAGCTGGGTTACGTGCAATTGCTACAACAAATCACCATTTCAGTAATACTGGGTGAAACTTGGGCTAGACTGGACTGAAAGCGAAAGGAGTTGTTTCTTCTTCATTATCTTTATCTTTTATTATAGACCATTTAAGATGCATTTCTTCCAATAAAGACGACAGTATCCCTCTGTGTAGTAAGTGCTCCTTCAGGAAACTTCCCTGGTGAGTTTCTTTATAAAAACACTTATTACAATAAATGTGTTTATATTCTTACAGGAAATAGGTTCTATTAACGGCTTCATAGCCTTGATAGCTAAATGGAATACTCATGTGCAAAGGCACTTTGTCTCTGGCTACTAGATTTCAGGGAGAAACATCAGGGGAGGCTTATTTCTTTAATGCCCAGCTTTCATGTTCCTGGAGACATTAGTTGACCACAGTTGAAAATGGAATTTTCAGGATCTTCTGGATCAGATAAGCTGATAAGTCTGCTCCAAGAGGACTATTCTAAATGTTGTTGTTGCTGTTGTTACTACTAGTAGCAGGAGAATATAACTACAATGTTCACTATCCCTGACTATTAGCCATGGTTACTGTGGTTGATGGGAATGGGAGAATAATGACACCTGGGGAGTCACAGTTTCCCATCCCTGAGATTTAACAGCTTGCACATCTGTGCAGTAGCTGTATTTTGCTCAGACATAATAATCATCAGCATCCACAGTAATGGGTGGGTGGGGTCAGACTAGCCCACCACATGTGTACAGAACTTGTCCAAGTTTTGCTACTCAGCCAGATGAGAGATTAGGACACCACCAAAAATGTTTCAAGCAAGGAATAGAGAACTAGCCCTCTTGAATTAGGTAGATTATATATTCTACACAATAGTTGTAGAACTATGTGATGGGTGTAGAATAAAGTATGAACTTTGTGCATAACCTTTGCCTGGAAGAAAACTTGTGACACCCTGTTTATCTGGAATGACACAAGTTAAGTTTTATCACATCACTGACAAACTTAGCTACATGTTCATTTAGAGGCAGCCAATCCCTATCAACAACCTCAGATATGCAGATGACACAACCTCAGATCATCAACCTCAGATATGCAGATGACACAACCTTGATGGCAGAAAGTGAGGAGGAATTAAAGAACCTTTTAATGAGGGTGAAAGAGGAGAGCGCAAAATATGGTCTGAAGCTCAACATCAAAAAAAATGAAGATCATGGCCACTGGGCCCATCACCTCCTGGCAAATAGAAGGGGAAGAAATGGAGGCAGTGAGAGATTTTACTTTCTTGGGCTCCATGATCACTGCAGATGGTGACAGCAGTCACGAAATTAAAAGACGCCTGATCCTTGGGAGAAAGGCGATGGCAAACCTAGACAGCGTCTTAAAAAGCAGAGACATCACCTTGCCAACAAAGGTCCGTATAGTTAAAGCCATGGTTTTCCCAGTAGTGATGTATGGAAGTGAGAGCTGGACCATAAAGAAGGCTGATCGCCGAATAATTGATGCTTTTGAATTATGGTGCTGGAGGTGAATCTTGAGAGTCGCGTGGACTGCAGGAAGATCAAACGTATCCATTCTTAAGGAAATCAGCCCTGAGTGCTCACTGGAAGGACAGATCGTGAAGCTGAGGCTCCAATACTTTGGCCACCTCATGAGAAGAGAAGACTCCCTGGAAAAGACCCTGATGTTGGGAAAGATTGAGGGCACAAGAAGAAGGGGACGACAGAGGACAAGATGGTTGGACAGTGTTCTCGAAGCTACAAACATGAGTCTGACCAAACTGCGGGAGGCAGTGGAAGACAGGAGTGCCTGGCGTGCTCTGGTCCATGGGGTCACAAAGAGTCGGACACGACTAAACGACTAAACAACAAACCCCTATTGCATACAGTGTTTTTTGTTTTTATGGATATTGACATCATTATACAGTTTAGCCAGCATGGGAGATAATAGAATCAAGTATCTCCTGTTGCTGTTGTGTTCTGGTTGGGAAGATGCAATCAAATTCTTACCTCACTTCTAGAATGTATCCTTCAAATTTTGAGCAGCAGCCTATGCACTAATCATTCAAAAAACAAGAAAATTATGGATTAGAAAATAAAAGCTAAAAGTTTTCTGTGTGTAAAAGGCAGGAAAAAAGAGGTTTGGAGGTAAATGGATTTTTTTTAAAAAATAAGCTCTAATGTAGAGGCAACTAAACTTTTGGCTTTTCAGATATTGGTAGACCACAAGTTCCACTATTGGTAGTGCTGCATGGAGTCCAACAATATTTAGAGGACAAAAGGATAGCTGAGGCTGTTGCAAAAAGTATGCCAGTGTATACAGGAAATGTATTCCGTTACCCAGACACAGAGGAATGTTGACATTGTGTGTACCTCAAATAAAGCTGGAGAACAGCACAGTATAATTACTTTGTTGGAACAGAGCAAGGTCCATTCACATCAGCCTTTGAATTGGACCAATTCTTTCCAAAAAGTCATTGATGATAATATTTACCACTGCAAATTTTACTTTTGAAATTCATCAGTCAGTACTGTGGTGCACCTAGAAACAGCATCAAATGCTTTTCATAGATTCATTGTTTCTTTTTTCTTTTTCTTTTAAAATGAATGGAAGAAATACAGATGGGAAGGGGGGAGGGAAGAGGGGAGGGGAGTTATATTACACTGAACCAAATGATTATTTTTTTAAGGTAAAATGCTGAGAGGATGAATAAAGAATTTATTTTTTAAAAAATTGAATAACAAAGAATTTAGACACTGTTCTTCATCGTTGTTTTTTTTTTAAAATCATGATTTTCATTTCTTTCTTTTTTGCTTATATCCCTGTAGCTTTCTGATATAATGGAGAAAGAAAATCAAACTGTGGTTACAGAATTTGTCTTTCTTCATTTCACTAGCATCCCCAAGCTTGAGATGGTGTTGTTTGTGCTCTTCTTAATCATCTACATCCTATCTCTTATGGGGAACTTGCTGATTATACTCATTGTGGCTGTGGACTCACGCCTACAGACCCCCATGTATTTCTTCATCTGCAATCTCTCGATGGTCGAAGTCTGGTACACCACTGTCACAGTGCCAAAGATGTTGGAGAATTTACTGGCTCAGAAGAGGACAATTTCCATTCCAGGATGTATCACTCAATATTACTTCTTCTTTGCCTTTGCTGCAATTGAGCTGTTTATTCTGACAGCCATGGCTTACGACAGGTACCTTGCAATTTGCAACCCTCTACGATACTCCGCCATCATGAACCCTAGGACATGCAGGAATGTGGCTGTGATATGCTGGGTTGTGGGATTCATATGCCCTACATTCCCTTCCTTCATGTTAGCTAAAATTTCCTTCTGCAGCCCCAACAAAATCAACCACTTCTTCTGCGATGCTGGGCAGATATTTCGCCTTTCGTGTACTGACACTTATTCTATTCAGGTCATTGGCTACGGCTTCAGCAGTGTTATTGTAATGGCCACTCTTTTGTTCACTCTAGGTTCTTATGTGCAAATCGTAATCACTATACTGAAAATGTCTTCTGCTGCTGCCCGGAGGAAGACATTTTCCACCTGTGCCTCCCACCTCTCTGTAGTCACCATCTATTTTGCAACACTCATTTTCATGTATGTCCGCCCAGCAGTAAAATACAAATCTAATGCCAACAAAATAGTAGCGGTTTTCTACTCTGTAATCACACCCTTGCTGAATCCAATGATATATACCCTGAGGAACAAGGATGTGAAAGAAGCTTTGAAGAAAACTTTTCTCATAAATAAAGTCTAAAGCCACCAAAAAACAAATAGCTCTAAAATAGCTTGAAGTGATTATGAAACTCACACTGAAGGTAGTCCCTGAATTACCCTTCTGTGCACCTTCCTTGAGTGTATTTCTGAGTGTAGCTGTGTGTGCGTTTGTGTGTGTTTCCTGCTTGAAAAGTGTCATTTAAATGTAATCATGTTTCTTGCATGCCTAGTTAAAGAGGGATGTGTGATCTAAAACAGGAAATCGGATCCTCCTAATTGAGGGGCTGCATTGTGTATGGGCCCAAGGCGCTCCCTCCATTCATGGAGGGGGTGGGGGGGTGAGCCTGAGCCACGCGGTGGCCCCATGATCATGCCATGGCCTATTGGCCAATCAGAGAGTGGGAGCGTGATTGTGGGGGCCTTTAAAAGGTGGTGATGCATTGCTGGGGCTTTACCTGGCTTCACGCTGCCGAATACCTGCCCACCCCCCCTAATGTTTTAGATGTCTGCTTTGGTCTTGCTCTGGACTTTGGTTGATCGTCTGTTTTGGAACAGGGGCCAGGTAGGATTTTTTTTCCATTTGGCAGATTGGCACTGGCCATTTGGTTTTCGCCTACCTCTTAGCAACCGTTACAACTTTGTAAGGTTTGGTGGTTAGGCATTGGCTTAGTGAGATGCGGGGGAGGGGAGGTGCAGCCATTACTTGCCCCTCCAGGTACAAGGGTATTCCAGTAAAGGAATCCGTGGGTCTGGGTTTCGTCCAAAGTCTGATTGGGGGCTAGGGCCATGCCAGGACCCAGCAAGAACCCTGGGGTGAGTTTCAGTTTGTTGCCATCGATGGAGCTCCCTCTTTTGGCGCTTTACCCTTCTAGATTTCCTGCAAGGCGGGCAGGAGTCAGATATAGTTATTGCTAATGCCTAAGCCAATACCACTCACATTTCTGTAATCAATAAAGTTGTGGCCTAAATTATGCCCATTAACCTTTAACCTAAAATTCTGTGTCAATATGTTTTTATTATTCCTGGGGGTGTGCAAATGAGATCAGTCATCCACAGATAATCAGTGGCATATTGTTTTGAGTTGACATATTTAATTTTATGAATCAGTTTTCATGAATCATATTGAGTAAATTCAACAATAAAAATGTATAATATATGCATATGATTTTTTTGCGTCAATACAGATAGTCTGGGATTTTAAAAATCAATTTGAATGGTCTGTTGGAAGATGAAGGTCTTCAACAGGTGCCAAAAATGCAATGAAGATGGAACTTGCCTAATATATAACAGGTGGAAGATGCAAAGTCTGGGGGCCACAGCACTGAAAGCCCAATTTCTATTTTATATAGAATGGATTTGCTGATGGTATGTATCTACAGGAGGCTCCTTCCTGCAGAGCACACTGATCAGCTGGGTATATACAGGGTGGGGCAATTATTTAGATAAATTTGTCCTGAGCTTTATACACTGGTACTAGCAATTTTATCTGTGCCTGGGTACTCTGCCTAATTCTAGGCTAGAACATGTCTCAGCTTTCCAAATAAATTGCTGACCAATAAAATGACTGTGATTCAAGGTGAAGAAAGGTGATGTTGGGCTGACATGGGAATGCACCTCGTATGACAGTGTCTTACAAGTATTTGCATTAGGTCATTTCCCATTGTTAAAAACATGGGAAACAAAAAGTAGTTCTGATAGTGGTAATTATTTGCAAAGAGCTCCAAGGTGGGAATAGTCATCCCACCAGAATAAATATTTATTTGGTTTGGGAATTAATGTATCCTTCATATAAAATGGATAATTATATGCTTACAGTACATTTAGCCAACAGATTTGTGCTTGGAAGAATTGAGGATCTGTTTTATTTTATCAAATGGGCACATGAGTGGGGGACTTCTGTTCTCTGCTCACTCTGCTTTACATTCCTTCCAGGACAAATCTTATTTTGTTCTGTTTCTTGTGACATATCTGGTAAGTTCATCTGTCTTTCAGAAATGTGCATATTTATGCACACCATCTGACCACACTGACCCATTTTTGAACTGCTTTAGTTTTCCTCTTCATTTACAAGAAGCATTGAATCTAATAGATAATGTCTAATTGTTTCCATATCGATAGTTCTGCTGCAGAATGTCAGTGCATTTGCCTTGAACATTACAGACGATTTTGGAGGTATTTCAGGGCACACGCTTTATTCACATAGGGTACTGGCTGAACATGTTAATGGTGAAAGTCACTGTGCTGGCCAACCTATGTTTCAGAAACTTGATTGTATTAACCTTTTCATTTAGGAACCACAACAGGCTTTCAAGGAACTCCACATTTCCCCAGAACACAGCTTGAAAGCCACTGCAATAGTATAACTCATACTCCTCATAAACGTCTTATTTCTAAAACATAGTTTTATTTTTATCTCTTTTGTAGGGCAGCTCAACTTTTATGTATCATTTAAGACTGATGTTTGCCTGTTTGTTTGTTTGTTTGTTTGTTTTGAATATTTATACCTTGTGTTTCCAACAAATTAGTTCAAAGGAAGCTTACAAGCAACAAGTAAGGATACAAAAATGAATATAAAACCAAAGAACAAAGTACGTACAAAGGAACACATAAAGCAGTCTTATATTGAGTCAAACAGGTGGTCCATCTGTTTTGGTATTTCTACACTGACTACCAATAGCTCTCCAGAATTTTTGGCAGGGGTCTGTCCCAGTTGTATCTTGAAATACCAGGGAGTGAGTTTGGGACCTTCTGCATGCAAAGAAAATGATCTACCATTAAACTACACATGCGCTCCACCACCAGTCCCCCGCAAGAGCATTCTGCCAGGTGACAGAGATCATTATGTGTTTGTTTTCCATTCCTTGATATCCGTCTTGGACGAGAGGAATCCTAATGGTCCTCACTCATCTGACTAGTGGCAGAGGCAGGAGTGTGTTCCCCCTCCATGACCCAAAAGTATGTGTGAAAGAACTTTGTGCCCATCCCTTTCTTTTCTCTGGGTCATGGAACAACATGCAGAAATTTTCTTGAAGCTTGTAATGGGGAAGGAGCTTTTTGAGGACACAAAACTCTGTGTGTGCATCAAACCCTTTCTGTGTGCTCTGCACTTGAACTAAGAATTACATTGAAATCCTTCAAATCCCAACATAGCAATGATCGAGATAGATATAGATCAGACATTCTCAACCTCAGCCTTCCAGATGTTTTGGCCTACAACTCCCATTATCCCTAGCTAGCAGGACCAGTGGTCAGGGATGATGGGAACTGTAGTCTCAAAACATCTGGAGAGCCGAGGTTGAGGAAGCCTGATATAGATGATTATAGCTATAGATTTGTTTCAAATTTAAGTAAATGTTTGTTTTTTAAAAAAGAATAATAACTAAACTTTTGACCATGTTTCAAAAGAAATAGTGCAAAATGTGTGAGTATGTGTTCTAAAAGATATACTGATATATTTCATCAGTTTGTATCTTATATTATTAAGTCACACTGACCCTTTAATTTACACATGAATTCAATATTTCATCATGCTTTCGGTCGATGCTAATATTGATCCTCACATCAATATCTCTCAGGGTGAAACATCTCAAGTATGATTGCTGAACATCGGGTACAATGAGAGAATTTATGTATTAAGATTGCAACTTCATACGCACTTACCAGCCACAGTGAACTGAACTGAAATTAATTTTGAGTAGACTTTTACAGAGTTGCATGATCAAGGAGGCTAACAATGGGCTGAAATGTTCCTTTCAATTTTTTTTTGCTTGTTTTATAGGTTCCTAAACAAAAATGGAAAACCAAACTGAAAGTTCAGAGTTTATTTTCTTGGGACTTTCCAGTAATCCCCAACTGAATATCTTCTTCTTCTTGGTGTTTTCAACCATTTACCTATTAACACTGTCAGGAAATGTCACAATCATTCTGGTGATAAGGAAGGAACCTTCCCTTTATACACCCATGTATTATTTTCTGTCTCACTTGTCCTTCGTTGATATCTGTTATTCAACTGACATTGTCCCTAAGATGTTAATGAACTTGCTAATGAAGCAAAAGACAATTTCCTTCACTGGTTGTCTTACACAAATGTTTTTCAGCCTCCTGTTGAGTGTTACAGAGGTTTTTATTCTTTCAGCAATGGCTTATGATAGATACACTGCTGTGTGTCACCCACTTCACTATATAGCGATCATGAACAAAACATTATGTGCTTACCTGGTGATGGGGGCATGGATAATGGGCTTCCTTTTTGCAATAATAAACACAGTGCCCACATTAAGTTTGCAGTTCTGTGGCATTCACAAAATCAGCCACTTCAGCTGTGAGCTGCCACCTCTTTTGAAAATCTCCTGTTCTGACACCTTCCTCAATAATATGATTCTTCTATCTTCTGTTGTGATTTTTGGACTTGGTTCCTTCCTGCCAACCTTTGTCTCCTATTTCCAAATCATCTCCACCATCCTGAATATCCGTTCCCCAGAGGGAAGGAGCAAAGCCTTCTCTACCTGCAGTTCCCACTTCATTGTGGTTGGCTTATTGTATATGACAGGAATGTCCCAGTACATGAAACCCAGCAGCATGTCTTCCATGACAATTGATGAGCTGTTCTCTATTCAGTATAGCATTTTGACCCCCATGTTGAACCCAATTATCTATAGCTTGAAAAATAAGGAAGTGAAGAGAGCTCTTGGGAGAATATTTGGGAAAAAGTAAATGTTTTAATACTACAATCCTATTCAGTTTGTTTCAGAAGCAAGTCCCATTAGTTAAATGGCGGATTACTCTCAGACAAGTGAGTATAAGACTGCAGCTGTAGTTTATTAGTATGACCACGACACTAGCTTGATATATTTCATTGTATTTGGGTATGCTAATTAAACATTATAGTGAAAGGATGTTTTATGTCATTACAGTTGTAAACTGCAACCACAAAATTCAGAGCTTAGTTCAATATTCATCAATATGTCATATTCAGATTTACTCCCCGCCTCATTCCCATGCCAGCTCTTCTAATAAGCAGCCATTGTTCTTTATTATGTA